CTCTATGTGGAATGGGCTCCCAAAGTCCACACCTGTGCTAGGGATAAGTACTGAACTACTACAGGAGGTTCCAAGGTTTCCTCACAATCCTGGGGTCTGGATCAGTCCCATGCTAGTTTCCCAGCTATCAGTCTGGGGAGCAAGAGCTCCCCCATGTTCAGGTCAGCTGTTTCTGTGGGTTTCACCAGCCTGGTCTGGACCCCTTTGCTCTTCACTCTTCCTTCTCTGCGTCTTGGTTCCAGTTCAGTTCGGTGATTAGTTGTGGGGGTCTGCTTCGACTTCCACCAGCTGCTAGATGAGAGCTATCGGGTGGCATATAAGTCAGTCATCAATCTCATTATCAGGGGAGGGCATTTAAGGTAACCTCTCCTCTGTTGCTTAGATTGTTAGCTGGTGTCATCTTTGTAGGTCTCCAGACATTTCCCTAGTGTCCAATTTCTCTGTAAACCTAAAATGTCTCCCTCTATCCTGCTGCATTTTTATCTCAACGGCTGACCCTGTTGCCTAGTGTGCTCTTTGTTTCAGTTGGGGAGGGGGGGACAAGGGGAGACCAGGTCCAGTTCCCAGAACCCCATGGCAGCCTTACATGGAGCCCCATTATAACCCTTCTGTAACTCCAGTGCCAGGGGATCTGGTGCCCTCTTCTGACTGCCATAGGTATTGCATACATGCAGTGCCCTAGCATAGAAGCAGGAGAAACAGCCGTGCACATAAGATAAAGTCTAAAATAAAAATTGAGCAATGTCCATTTTATAGGGAGCAAATAAACTCCCAAGCTTTTTGACCCCGTAAGAATTGTCCTAGCCTACACCTCACCGCCACTCCCCTAAACCTCTGCCTTGATTGGCAAACCCTGACCTCTCTTGGCCCTCAGCTCCTCAGCCATGCATGCTAAGCACACACCTGCCCTACCCTGCCCCGTCCTTCCCCCAGGACAGTGCTCTAAGCTGTCCCTCCTACACCCACTTCTATGCTCCCCAAATCACATCTCCACCTAGGACCATCTAGTTCATAGACAGTCATCCGCCTTCTAATGGGGCTAAGGACACATTACACCCTTGTGCCTACTTCTAGGAACACCTTCCAGCTCCAGCCCACCTTTAATTGCATTTACTGCTCCCTCTGCCTCGAGTCCACACCCCCCTAGTTTCCTTCTGTCTGTTGCTTTTGTCAACTGGGACTCCAGTCCCATGATACCACCTCCAACCAAGGCTTCACAGCCTATTACATCAAAGTCACACTCTCCTCCTCGCATGGCCCACTGCCCGGCACTTCCTTCTCCCTCTTGTTGCACAAACCTACACATTCTGCTTTCAAAATGACTACAGCAGCAACACAGAGAACAGGGGGAAAATTCCATGTTAAATAGGAAATCATTTGATAAATTACGAATTTTATACAGCCATTGAATCTTAACACACAATGGCAAGCAACAGGATACAGAACTCTTACAGCATGCTCCCAATTGTGTAAGAAAAATCCACAGACAAGAACTACAAAACGGTATGCCTAACTACAGTGTCCACTGCCTAACTTTAAACAAGAATTCCAAAACAAAGCTATCTTTAGAGACTGATTAGAATGTGCAGAGACTGGCATGTTACAGGTCCAGGGCTTAATCACCCTATCTTGGGCTAATCGGAGGCTCCTGAATAGCCATTCCTCGTCCACCTATATCAGACTAACATCTGATGCCTAGTTGATAAAAACTAGTCTATGAACCTAAAATCTAAGAATGTCATCAGATAGACCTGAGACCTATAGGAGAGAGTCCCCATCTTGCTGTAACTGCCTCTCTGATGTACCCACCAATTTCTTTTTAAATTGCCTTGATTTATGACTTTTTTTGCTCTACTCTATAAAGCTTCATGAAACTGCTTCCATGTGGGAATGTGGAGTAACCTGGCTCCATGTTTCCTGCGCTGTGGTCATTGAAATTGGCCCCATAATAAACTATACCTGATTCCCTCAAAAGCTGTGTTTTTTGAGCCAATAACCTTTTTCTATACTTTCAAGTATTGCCCTCAGGAAGCTTTGATACTTTAATAATAAAACAGGTTAAAAAAAAAAAAAACTACAAAAAGACTTCTTAGGATAAAGCAGCAGAAAGGTATCTTGGGCAGACCCGACCAAGGTGTGCTGCGAAGAGAGCGCACTATGCCCCAGATCTAATGCAAGAGGGTTACTGGGGAAGGGAGAGAGTCTGGGAGCGGGGACATGACAGAGAGATAGACAGACCGAGAAAAACGATCTGGGGAGGCCGAGGCCTTTAAGGAAGCATGTGTCCCTAGGCAACTCTTAGCGGCTGGGAAAAATGTGCTGCACCTGGCGGTGGTGCCAAGTTTACAAGAATAAAAACAAATGGTAAGATTAAGGAATATGCAACAGACCTCCCTGGTTCCCTCTCCTAATTTCCACATCTTCTTTTTTTGTAGATTCACATAATTCTTTAGCTTACTCTATAGCACTTTACACGGTTTCTCTCGACAACTCCTTGGGTTTCACTGTATGTATCAGCAGACCAGGTCTCATGGAGGTCAACTGCCTTGGCAGTTAATTACTGCATTGCAAGTCTAGTTCTAAAATCCATGTCATCTTTGTTTCCTACTGTAACATCTCAGACAATTCAGTGGCTTAACCCAAATACCCATTATCCCACACTTGTACAGACTGGGGTCCAGCAGGTTCTGTGACTGCAGCCCACCCCCAGCTGTGGAATGGTCTCCCGACAGATCAGCTTTCCTGCAGGGTGCTCTCAGGTCCACATGGCTGCAAGCCTGAGGCCTTGTCTCCTTGCAGGTTTTCGGTCCAGAGTTTTTCTCAGTTTCTACACTTTCTGGTTCTCGACCCTTCATCTTCAAAAATACCCCAAGTGTGACTGACTATCCCTTCGGTCTCAGGCTCCTGCCTCCCCTTTTGCTTTTCAAGGGCTCAAGATTACACTGGGCCCACCTGGATAATCCAAGCTGATCTCCCTATCGTGTTATCTGATTAAGGAATTTAGTCTGTGCCAGACTAACTGCGGAAGGAAGGCCCACTGAGTTTAGAATTTTGCCTGCTATGCATAATCTCTATATTTAATTCACGTTGTCATTCTCTCTCCATTATCTGGAAGGTTATGTTGTTTTCCATCTGCTTTCCTTGTTAGAATTCAGCTTTAAAAATGTCTAGAGAAAGTAACCACTGGCTTTGCATTCTATCTTCTGTTACATTATAGTTCAAAATGGACTCTAAAACAACTCATTAACTTGTTTGGCAGTAAAATAAAAATTTTTAAAAAAATCAATGTATATAGCTTTATGAAGAGCGTGAAAAAGACATGAGAGCATTAAAACAGCCCATTGCAAGTCTGTTACTATGATCTCCAAGATCTTTTTCAAAATTACAAAATTAGAGGCTGGACAGATGGCCCAGTGGTTAAGAGCACTTATTGCTCTTGTAGAAGACCAGAGCTCAGATCCCATCACCGACATCAGGTAATTCTACAAACCATTTTAACTGAAGCTCCAAGGGAACTGACACCCCCTCCCAGCTTCCACGGATAAAACACACACACACACACACACACACACACACACACACTCACACATCTCTCTCTCTTTCTCTCTAAAAAAGTAAGATATTATAGCCATCCGGACTCATGAACTGAAAAGCTGAGTTTTTGTTATTAAGAACTACTTCTAAAAATACGACGGTGAGGAAATCTTACTACAGTTCATGTATATCAGATCAAGAGGTTCATTATTTCTCAGCTGTGCAGGAGACAGCCTACTGGCTTATAACCTATAACCAAAGATGTTTATGACATTAAAAGGAAAACTGGTAAGTGGCTTAGAGACAAAATTTAATTTCATTACAATCATTTTAAAATCAGCTATGATCTTGACAAATACAGGTAAATCTGTAACAAATCTCTAATTTCCAAGATACAAAAAGACAATAAATATATATTCAAATTCAACCTAAAAACAAGATTCTAAATCTAATTTAGATTAGGTAGTATTGTTTAGTTTAAGTATTTCAAATATATGCATAATTCTTCAAATGCTACAGGAACTCATACAATAGTTATTGCTCACTGACAAGTAGCTACCAGTTCTTCACTGACGATACTCAAGTGTGCAGCCCTGGGGACTCCCAAAGCCTGTGGGTGCTGGGGACAGTTGGAGATGGTGCCAGATGGCACTGGTCCTTTCTGGCAGGACACTGGTACAGGAACAGTGCCAAAAACACCCTAAGCAGGACAAGAAGCTGATTTCCCACAGCCCAGTAAATGGTCCCATTTCTTGGCAAAACCAGACAGGCTGCTGCTGGCTGTGGCTGCAATGAGCACTTTGTCCAGCACAGAGTGGTGGGGGTTCATCCTCTCAATTCCAGATGCTCATGTCCTCTGCTAATGGTGACTTCTTCAATCCTTCATTTTCTTCCAGGACACATTCTTCATTGCTTTCAAGCTACACTGTCATTAAAGTAAGTCTTCTGAAATTTTTTTCCAGATGATAGTATTTCTTCTAGCCTATTATTTCCTCAGTTACTCAAGTTTCAGGCCAAGCTCCTTTGTCTTGGTTTAATTCTTGGGTATAGCTGCAAGAGAGTTTTAAAACATATTTACCCGTGCCATATGTATGGAAGCTCTACAGTATTTCAATAAATACAGACAGGAATGTGACACAGGAAAGCACTGAGCTGTGGAAACACACTGGCCTCCTGAGTACACAGAGCTCACACTTTGCACTGCTCACACTGGCTGCTAGCTGAAAGACCTCTGAAGGTCACAGGGCCCATCAGCTGGAACAATACCACAGAGCAGCAACATGTAAACTCCAGGCATTAACTCAACTTGCAGTTTGCTCAACTCCATAGCACCCTAGGGAAGCCAAGCTACTGACAACTACTTGTAAACACCTGTATGCTCCAGGGTTTGGGATGCCTTCTGTCAGAACAAAGTCTTAAAAAAAAAAAAAAAAAACACAGCAGGGTCTAGTGAGGTAGCCCAGGCTAGCCTCATAATTCTCGTGTCTCAGCCTCCTAAGTGCTGAGACCACAGATGTAAGCCACATTCCTTCAGCCTCATTTACAGGGACATGGCAGTCTGGGTGGGACCTGAGCCTATCAGAAACAAAAATGCCTGCATCAGCAGCCGTGGGGAAGCCAGGTGAAAGGCTCTGGAATTCTGCTGGCTGCGCTTCCCATGTCAAGGGTGAGGAGAGGCTATGTGAGGGTCACACTAGAAGTCAACCCTGAAACCACACCAATCCCCCTTCTCTCTCCCAGGGACAAGGAAACAGAAGGGTGGCGTGGTGATTTAAGAGAAGACACTCACCAATGCACTTTCCAGATTCATGGCTGAGCCTTGCTAAAAACCCAAGATACTAAAACATGGCATGTGGAGCACACTTCTCTAGAAGAAATTGCCAGAGAACCAAGAGTATCTATCTAAGTTTAGGACGAAAACTACAACCTTTCTCCCAGTCTGTTACAATTTCATGACCTTCTGAGAATTCAACAGTCTCTCTGCTTCCCCTTGAGAACAATCCTCCATCTCATTAACCAGGGCCATTTCCTTACTAGGGAATTAAATTTATTCAAAGAATTCTGTTGGACAACATGGAAATTATGGTTAAAAACATGTATATTAATTGAAAACTGGTTAGCAGATTTTTTTCATCACAAAATAAGTTAGCTATGTAAGGCTATGCATCTTTGCCTGACTTAGCCATTTCATAGATATAAATCTGTTATTTAAAGCTAGGTTAGGGGCTGGGAACACAGGGCTAGCAAGATGGTTCAGCAGGTAAGGACACTGGCTGCCAAGCTTCGTGAACCTTGCTCAATCTCCAAACTCCCCAACTGTCTTCTGAACACCACACACTTACTGTGGCACACACACACACATACATAGTAAATGTTTTTAAAACTCCTTGAAACTCATGTTCTATACTGCAAATATGCACAATTAGTTATTAATTTGCAATAGATGAGCTAGGTAGGTGAGACATATCTGTAACCCTGGCACTCAGAAGGCAGGAGGATTGAGTTTGAAGCTAGCGTCAGCTACATAGCAAGACTGCTTCTTCCCCTCCCCACAAAACGGGAGGAGGCGCTCATCTAAGCATGGTGTGGGAACAACTATAATCCCAGCACTTGAGAGACTAAGGCATCATAGAGCTGGAGAGATGGCTCAGCAGATGGTTTCACAACAAATGCTGCTGTCTGGAAAGCAGCAGTTAAGATACAGGGAATGACTTAAAATGGACATTTGACAGGGAATCACTGTCAGAATCCAGAATGCCAGGTCCCTGGGTCAAAGTCACCTGAAAGACTGAGCAGATGAACTTTAGCAGACAGGTGTGGCAGGCTTCTACCTGGCAGCTATGTGACAGACTTGTCTATGTGACAGTTGATGAAAACCCACCAGGGCTTCACATGGACGGCCTCACCGTGAGCACACTGAGCTATGAAGGCTTCACATGGACGGCCTCACTGTGAGCACACTGAGCTCGGAAGGCAGGCGTCTCTAGTCTTTCCCACCATCGGCTTATCCAGCACAGAAATGTTCCAACTGGATCAGCAGAGACAGAACCCAGTGCCACGTGGATGCGTCATCTCCACCCTCTTCCCGTAAGCCTCTTTCCTGTTCCTTACCAACAGCAGATCCGCATCTTTTCCTTCCCGTCTACCTCTACGCTTCCTCACTCTTTCACACACCCAGCACACCTCCGTGAACACAGGCCACACATAACAAGAGCCAAGCCCATCAAAGAGCTTGCTTTGGATCTTCCTACTTCCATTCCCCAAGTGCTGGGGATATGGGCATGACCCACGGCACCGGGCTTAAACCTATGGAAGAGCCTAACGCAAAAATCTTGGAAACACATTATTCTGGCTTTCAAACCTATTAATACTTTCCTAAGTATAGTCAGTTGCCCTGTAAACGTGGCTGTGAGTCTAAATTAAAGACATCAGAAACCTAAGCTTTATGTATTTTTTTTTAAAGATTTTATGTGTCTGAGTGTTTTGCCTGCATGCATATGCCTGTACCATGTGTGTGCAGTGAGCAGGCATCTAGAACTAGAGTCCATAGATGGTTAAGAGCTGCCATAGAGGTGCTGGGAACTGAACTTGGGTCCTCTGCGAGAGCAGCAAGTACTCTTAGCTGCTGAGCCATCTCTCCAGCCCAGGATCACGTCTTACTAACAAAGGCAGTAAATCGCACTGGACCTACACAACAGTTCATGCAAAGCTCTGCTTTACCATACATGGAACATGGTCAGTGTTAGAGCGACTTACTCCTAGCAAGTTGCGTGGAACATAGCCTTCCTTGTCATGGAGGCGTGCCCACCACCACTCGATTTCATCCTCATCTTCTCTGCGGACGACGGTCATGCAATCCCCTTCTCTCATGAGCAGCTCATCTTCATTCTGGGGCTCATAGTCCCACAGTGCATAAATGACTCCTTTGTTCATGATGCCCATCTTCTCCTGAACTCCTACAGCAGGGACAGAAGGGAGCGACCGCACAGGATTCAGCTCTCAGATTACACCACTCCTAAGAACTTTAAACGCTATCAACAATAGGAAAAGGATACTCACTAGAGCGTCACGACTACAGTAAGCATTCAAGAAATAAATGTCCCAGCATGAGACAGAAACTGGAAACCCAGCAGTGTTTACAGAACACAGAACGATGCCATGCTACAAGGCCCAAAACAGGCACCTTCTCTGCATCTCACAGAGCTTGCCTTCCCCAGAAAGGAAGCCTTCTGCTAGCCCAGGAACTAAAAGAAAAACTGCTTGAATCCAAGGCATTAAAAAGGAAATGACGGGCTTGTCAACTTTCGGCTTACTTCTAAGCATAATGACCAAGGAGCCCTGTAACTTCAGTCTTCACCAGACACCCAGAGCAAACAGGGAAACTTTCAAAGAGCTCTACAGCAATTCCTAGTACTTTTAAGAAAAAGGACAACATCATGTGTTAGAAAGCAGAACACAGCAGGTTAATGAGACAGAAAAGTCTATATATGGCTACTTTCTATACATGGAAAATCAGAATTCTGGATGCTGAAATCAACAAACAGGGCAGAAGAAAATCCTCAAAAGGCCATTGCCCAGGAGTTATTTCATGACTGTGAGTTAGGTCTAGCTTCCTCATTGTGTACCCTAAACGTGAAGGGTGGCACAAGGCTAGAGAAACTAGACACCCTGGCACCACTGGAAGCAGGCAGAGGGAGGTGAGCGGGGCATGGCAACAAGGTTTCTGCCATTAATTTTCATTTACCTTTATGTCTTAAAAACACATGAAAATATCTGCTTGACTTTTGAACATGTTTTTCAACTCTGAGCTCCCAAAAATTAGTAGTTAGCCTATGACAATTAGTGTATCAATTAATAACTAGCATGTGCTGTATCTCTTGCTCTGGGAAAAACAAAACAAAAAAACTCCAAAGAAATGAAAGGTTCTCTTCCAAAAACCAATAAAACCTTTTAAAATGACATGAAAAACAGGAGAGGACAAAAGCTGGTAGTGTCATTAGGTGGGAAATCATTCATGAAGCTTGTATAAGCCCCCAGGTTTCTACCCCAACACCACAAACAAGACTTTAGGACAAAACCTCACACAAATGTAACTCTGCAAGGTTGTAAAGCTTCATTTTGTTTTTGTTTGGGATGGGAATGGAAAGAAATCCTAGTTACTTATAATACACTCAAATTAGCAATTCAAGTCCCAGTTTTCAACAGAATTTCCATTAAGAATGGGGGTGGGAGGGAGAGATGCTAAGTTAAGAGTACCAGCCACTCTTCCAGAGGACCTGGGGCTCAATTCCCAGCACCACCCACATGGAGGCTCACAGCCCTCTCTAACTCTAGTTCCAAAGGACCCAATGCCCTCTTCTGGTCTCCAAGAGTACTGCATGATGGTGGCGCATAGGCTAAAAGAAAATGTAATATGAAAATAAATTTTACAAAAGATCCAGCTATCAGAGAGATCAGGTTCTTCTCCCTAAGTCAGGAGCTGTGCCCAGGCCATCATCAGTGACCCTTCATAATGTATCCTCACCCCTGACATCTGTGATATAATTCAGGTACCAAAAGAGTCTGACCAAAAAGCCTTCATGTGTCTTCTTTTTTAAATCCATGTCTGTCATATGAATTTACATAATGTTAATGTCAAAGTACTCTATTGGTCCAAAGTTGAAAACAAACAAAATGCAATAAGTTTCAATAATGAAATCTAAGCAGCTCGAAGGGCTACTAGGTATCACTCAGTGGTAGAGACCTGCCAGCATGTTTAAGGCCACAAAACAAACAAAATGGAGGGAGGGAGGGAGAAGAAACACTTAGGAAGATGACAGGGAACTTGTGGGCTTTAAGAACCCCCTCTCTTCTCACCAAGGAACATGGCCAGGCAGAGAGGACAAAGCCTGTGTGTCTGGGAACTGTGTGAACAATTGGTAAAAAGCTTTGGAGGGAGGGCTCGGGCCTATTTTCAGCATCCAGAATTACGTAGAGCAAATAACAAAATACTTATTAAGCTTGGAGCTATTCCCTAGAGACAGAGGGGTGATGAAGACAGCAGCCAACACACCTGATGGCACTGGCTACATACCATAAAGAAACTGGGAGCACTGAGTGTAGCCTTCTTCCATCTCCTCACACTTGTCCGCAGCAGTCTGCATGTCACTGTAAGTCATTGCAAACACAGCTGCTCCTGACTCCACCAGGAACTTACACACTTGGACGTTGTTACAGGACGCAGCACAATGCAATGGGGTCCTGGGAAGCAAGACACAGCACAGTTAGAAACATTTCTCCATGCTGAACAACCTCCACTTGCTGAGTTACCCCAGAAGAAAGCTCCTCAGTCTCTTACCCATTAGCCTCACAAACAGCTTTTTAAAACCAGTTCACTCAAGACAGACGACTGCAGCATGAGAGAATTACAGCTACAAAGGAAAGCATCTGAAGCACTGGAGCACACTGGGGCGAGGAGCTGAGCGCTAGTGAGAAGAACCAAGGAAATAAAGTCTCTGCGGTGATCCAAAAGAACAGAATAAAGTAGACTTGGCTCTGTCTGGAACCCCCAACCTTATAATCATTTCTTGTTTGAATTTTAGTTTTTTATTTCATGTGTTTAGATGCTTTACCTACATCTATGTATGTATACCTCCTGCATGCCCACAGAGGCTAAAAGAGGGTGTCAGATCCCCTGGAACTGCAGTTACGTAGAAATGGGTGTGAACTACAATGTGGGTGTCAGGAAGAGAACCCAGGTCCTCTGGAAGAACAAACATCCAGTGCTCTCAACCACTCCAGCCCTGAGACCTCATGATTCCTGTCAGTTTAAACTAGATGCCTGGATGCCAATATTTATACCTTTTCACCATCAACTTTCAAGGAATCAACCAGCACATATAGGCTACCTATATTCTCTTGAAACTCAAAAGTAAATTTTGACTCAAACTGCCAATTCAACTCTAAGTAGAAAAATGACTGTTAACAAACTGTAGAGATGATTCCTGAAAATACAGTCTTAAAACAATCACTGTAACACACACCCACACACATTATTCAATCTATTTTAGGCAATGAGTTAGCAGGAACTTGTTAATATTATAGAAAGAAAATCTGTCATCTCAAATCTCCAAACTCAGAAGACTGTTACAAATCAAACTCTGAAATGCATATTTCTTTACTTTTCTTTTCCTCCTTCAGTCTGGTTCCCTTGGATATATGCTTTCTTCTTGCTTTCTCTTTTTCTGCCCCCTCCCACACACACACACACATTTACTCTGTCCCCTTTTAACCACAGAGTGCTGGGAATCCCAGGTGCCTAACATATGCCAGACAAGGGCTCCACAACTAAGTTACATCTCACCTCTGGTTTAGGTAAAAGGTTTGTTTGTTTATTTACAGAGAAGATCTCACTTATATACCTTGTCTGGCTTTGAACTTAGAGACCCACCTGCTTCTGCCTCCTGAGTGCTAGGATTACAGGCGTGTGTTACCACCTATAGGTGGATATAATTTTAAAACAAAGAAATTCAGACCCTTTATACTCCAGACGACTACTATTACTGTTTTGGTGAATCTGACTACAGATCTGTGTCTGTGCTCGCACACGCACGCACGCACGCACGCACGCACGCACGCACGCACGCACGCACGCACGCACGCACGCACGCACGCACGCACGCACGCACGCACGCACGCACGCACGCACGCACGCACGCACGCACGCACGCACGCACGCACGCACGCACGCACGCACGCACGCACGCACGCACGCACGCACGCACGCACGCACGCACGCACGCACGCACGCACGCACGCACGCACGCACGCACGCACGCACGCACGCACGCACAGTGTATATTCCAGTGTGTGCATGCACACACACACACACAGTGTATGTTCCAGTGTATGCCTCTGTGCACAGTTGTGTTTTTGTGCACACATGAGTTCATGCCAATGTCAAAGGTCAGCTAGACATCTTCCTCTATCAATGGAACCTTCCTTCTATTCTGAGACAGGGTTTTCCTCTGAGTCTAGAGCTCACCAATTGGCTATGCTGGCCGGCCAGTGAGCTCAGGGATCTGCCTGTCTCTGCCCGCCCAGCACTAGAGTTACAGACTGGGAATCCAAACTCAGGGCTCATACTTGCAGGGCAGGCACTTCACCTACTACATCATCTCCTCAGCCTTGTGTTAGACAGATCTGTTTCCTGTGCTAGTTTCTAAGAGTGAAAAATTACATACAATCTAAAATCTCAAGCAAGGATAATATGATACAGTAAGAATTTGCTCATGCTAAATCAAAAGAGGGTGTGTATTAATATACACATAAATAAATACGTATTTATACATATAAGAAGGTGCACAGAAGGTTCTGAATTTAATATGCAGAGAATGCTCCACACACACACACACAAAATGGGAGGAACTGTATTAAAATCTTAATGTTTACTTGTAGATTATGGAGGTACAGGTTGTCTTCCTCTTATTTTTTATTTTGTTTATTTTTCCATAGTGGACACACACTGCTCTTATATGTATTTTTAATGCAATCATAATACCTCTCCAAGTATTATTTGTAACAAAAAATATCTAATAAAAAGGAAAGAGTCTTCATATATGATCACTTGGAATGATAGGTTAATTCAAATTTGTAATTTATACACATGAGCATCTGATATTTTAACATTAAAAGAAAAAATTAGTTATTAAAGAAACATGAGATTAAACTGTAATATTTTCAGTCCTTTATAGAAAAAAAATTTCATATTCCTCTACAAAAAGAGCTTTGCTTCTCTTATGGCTTCACTCTCCGAAGTATCAAGATTGGTAAGTAGCACTGTCCACCCTGTTCCCCTGCGATGTGACTCATCACTGTGTCCACAGTATCCACCCTGTATATGCCACCTACCCATTGGTCACCTGACAACCACCTGGCCAGTCCCCATACTCCAGTGCCTGGGATCTAGTAAATCGTATTTTAACTCAGGGCAATTTTATTACAGTACACTATCACTAAAATTTTAAATGCCACCAGGAAGTGGTGGTACATGCCTTTAATCGCAGCACTCGGGAAGCAGAGGCAGGCAGATCTCTGTGAGTTCAAAGCCAGCCTGGTCTCCAGAGCGAGTGCCAGGACAGCCTTCAAAGCTACACAGAAACCCTGCCTCGAAAAACAAAAACGAAAAAAAATTAAACGCCATTTGCTTCCAGAAACTGAACAAAATGGCTACAAGAGGACACAGTATCCCTGCAAACAACAGTACATGGACATGAAGGACTCCAACAGCAATACAGCAATGCCTGCAACAGACTCCGCAGCTGATGTCTGGCTGGAGTTAGAAGCAAGACTTACCACCCATCACTATCTGCTGCATTTACATTGACGCCAAACTGGACCAGGAACTTCACAATCTCTGTGTGGCCTGCACACACAGCGTTATGAAGAGCTGTGATGCCCTCGTCATTGGGTAGGCTTGGGTCATCAACCTGTCACAGCAATAAAAAGGGCAAGAGAGTCAGTCACTCCAATTTCATGTCACATCAACTGCCAATACTGACTGGTTCTTAGGATCAAGAAATTTTGCTAACATTTTAAAAATCATAACTGAAACATAAAGGAATCAAGAAAACTATCAAGAAAAATGCTAGAAATAGGACAGACAGCATAACCAAATTAAGTAAGTACTTATTAAAAGAAGGGTTTCTTTAAAAATCATAGCATCAGAAACAATATCCTATAGTTAGTTACCCTTTTTCTTCCTTCCAATATCCAGCACAATCCAGTTTCTAAGTAGACATCCTATTTGCTATGAGACGTTGAAGAAGTTCAACTAAAAACATTTTAGAGTTCAGCATGGCGGCACATGCCTGCAACTCCTGGACTCATGAAGCTGAGGTAGGAGGGTCAAGCATTTGAGGCTTACATACCAAGACCCTATCTCAAATAACAACAACAATAATAGTAATAGTAATAATAACAGATTTCTGAGTAGCAACCACAACTATAACTCAATACTACAGAGCACAAATTCACACAGAGCAACTTTCAGGCAAAATGTTCTTCCTGACAAAGAAGAACACCAAAATATTTCAAGTGCAAACTGAACTCCTATATTATCAAAACCTTACAGGTATACTCTTAAAATAACCCTGCCTGCTTCAGAGCATCTCAACATTTCTCTCCACAACTCCACAGTCCCCAAGAAGAAAATGTAAAAACAGGCTTGCCCTACACTAGCTTTCTATTTGGAGCTTTAAAACATGATACAGAGTTATAGTTTAGAAACTTACCTCATAAATAATTCTCTGTACAAGATCAAATTCTCCCTCCAAAGACGAATCTAGGAGCAATGCAAGAGGGTTGAATTTCACCCTCATTCCATGAGCAATCCTCTCGGAGCCAGTTTTACGCAAGTTTGTTCTTTTGCCCTGTAAAGGAAATGTGTGGGAAATTAAGAGAGCAACAGGAGCAGAGGCAGCACTCAGCTGAACTAGTGAAAAGAACTACTGTTGGG